AGCTTGCAAGCTCTGTACAGTTGGGCCTTCTCAAGTGAGGGATGTGGTTGCTACCATCACCATTATGGAGGCTTGCACATGCACCCGGGTGATAGGTCTACTTTGTGTTAGGTCTACAGTTGGAGATCCAGTCTTTCTACTAGAAGGTAGAGCAGATCTCCTTTACCAAAGCACCTACCAAAATCTTGCTCCAGAACAGATTGCACTGTCTCACCCTTGACGGTTTAAGATGCGTGGACTTCAACCCTCAGAATTCCCAGAGTTAAAGTTCTAGATTCATAGTTCAGCTCTCAAAGTTGAAGACCAGACATCTTAAAGTTGCCAAGGTTGAGAAAACCTGGTCCTGAGATCTGTATGACTTGTCCTTCTCAGATGGGCCTTTTCATGGTCGTTTTGAGAGAGGTTTCATTGTGCATTTGGATGGAGCACCAGGTGACTGGGTCCAACTGTGCCACAGCATTGAAAAGACCCTGGTTGTTCTCCAGCTGCCCACCCAGGTGCCAAGAGAGCTAGGGAACAGAGAGGCTCACTTGACATAATTCTGACATGATTTTCTTTCTTTCTTTACAGAAGATGGTCTTGGAAAAAGGACTCAAAAGGTAAAGCTGGTATTTTGGGATAACTGGGAAACAAAATGTGACTTTGGCACACAACAGCTGCACAGGCAACCCATAAAGAGGGTATAAACAAGGGGAAAGAGTCTCACCAGCATCTTGGGGGAATCAGAACTTTGCAGAGGGCTGCCTATTACTAGGCACCCTCCATTGTCTCCATAAGCAGCTTCAAGCAAGATTTGCTGTTCTTTGAAGGAACATGGCTTATCCTAAATGTGGCTTCACCCCTCTGCTGTGCACCGGAAAAAGGCACAGCGGAGTTCAATGAAAGCTGGCAAGCGGCAGCCCCTCACAGCCGCCTCCTCCCGCCTGCAGGTTCCAACTCAGATGTGCTCCTGACGAAGATCCACAGCCTCTTGTCCGAGTGAAGCAGGAGCGCCCAGAAGCCCCGGATGTTGCCCTCCCTCTTGCTAGCTTTGGCAGGGCTCTCCGCTTTCAAAGGTTTTTCTGGGAACAGCCCGTCCTTGGTGCTTGCTGGCAGCAGCTGCTGCGGCTGCTGGAATGTTTCAGGGGCCTGTATTGCACAGCCTAAAAAGAGCAGCTGGTGCAGGGGGAGTTCACGGCAGCCTGGATGCTGCATTTCTTCTTGCAAGACTGGAACCCGGGACCTTCCTCAGCAAGACCCAGATCCCAGAATTACTGTACAGCCTCAGGACAGAATTAGGGAGCTACCGACTCTCCTGGACGACAATTTCCTTCTTGATGTGGGACTGGGAGTGCCCCCTACCAATAAAGCTGTCTGTACGGGCTGGGAAACCATGCTGCTGTAAACATTTATTCCACTCCCGGGGGAAGCAAATAAAAGTGGGGGCGCACCCTTTCAATGCACAGCTCCCTCAGTGTCCCACCTCTAACAGCTTCCTGCCACAGCCTGTATTCTGGCAGTTCTAGCTGGGTTCAAAGGCTCCAGGGTGGAGCCTCAACAGTGTAACACTGCGCACATGAGCCAGGGGTCTCGGCACCAATGACTGTGCCTGTTCCTGTGTGGAAGTGTGTCGGATTCAGGTTCAGCCCCAAGATTTTCCCAGGAACAGCGTTCAAAACCAGAGCATATAACAACACCCAGCAGGCAAGAGTCACAGGCTGCCCCAGGTTCTTTTAGAAACAAATGCTATTTTCTGTGTATGTGTTAATAATTCACTTTTTAAAAAAAACAATGTAAGCTCTTTTGCTCAAGCGGTGATGACGTTAACAGGAAGCGAATTTACACTGATTTAGAAATGGACTGAGGTCAAAAGGATGCTGAGCAGGCAACTGAGGCAGGGGAAACGCTTTGCAGAAATGCTTGGGAAAACTATAGTTGGGTGAGGTCCCTCACGACAGGTGATCTCATTCTGAGAAAGAATGCTCCTTGTTTAAGAAATATTTAGCAGCACGGCATCCAAATGGTATCGGTCGATCTATTAACATGAGTCAGACAGGCCAAGCATAGGACGGGCACCCGCAAGGCTGCAGCCAGTCATTATGAGAGGCAGAGGTCTTTCACGCCCCCTGCAAACACCAGGTTGGCCATTACAAATGAGACACCCTGAAAATGATCCCCGTGACCCCAAGGCTGCTTCATCTTGCAGGGACACTGGGTGGCTGCTCACCTGCACGAGGTTTGTGAAGGCTCTGGCCTGGCTGCAATCAAAGCACCCGGCTGTATAGACTGCTATCTACAGCCCACCTGCCCGATGTTCCAGCAGCAACCTGGCACTGCCGACTTGCATGCTCAGTTCCCGCCAACATTCATTTCCCATTAGCCAGCATTTAGGCTTAAACACACACACACACACACACACACACACACACACACACACACACACAGTTTATGACCTCCAGCACAACCCTCCCTCCAAAGCCCCCCCCTCCCCGTTTCCTCCCTCTGCCAAACATCTCTTGCAAACCTTCAAGGGGAAGTCTAAGACATGTTCCGAGTCAGAGGATTATAAAGGTTTATTTGTCACATTTTGCCCCCCAGCAAATCCACAAAAACTCCGGGGGGGGGGGAAGAGAGAGAAGGCTGGGTCAAGAGGGAGAGAGCAGAATGCCTGGACGGGGGGGGGGGGGGTGGAACCTTTATTGGGGGGGAAGTCAAGCCCTCAGGCCCAGCAGCTCCCTCTCAAGGCCCCCCAGGGACAGGCCGGAGAGCTCCAATCCCACAGCAGGCACCCCACCCTCCTCGCCCTGCTCTGGAAAGAGGCCAGCCGGAAGGCTTCTCCTCAGGCCAGGCCCGGATGAGGACCTCCAGCGCCCAATGCTTTGGGACTCCGTTGCCCAACAACCCCATCACAACACCAAGAGCACAAGAAGAGTTGAAGTATAACTGCACGGAGAAGGCCTTCGATCCCTACCAACATCCTGGTGGAAACAGCTGGTCGAGCCCCCAAGATCCTCATGTACCTCGTCCTGGATCCCAGCGGATCCCATTACTCATGCCACAGAAGACACATTGCTGCCCTCATCTTTCCTTCCAAGCAGAAACACGCTCTCCTTGAAAAGCAGGGCACCCTAAAAGCACAGGAGGGAGGGAGGGAGGGGAAGGTTCCTCCTTTACAGGGGCACCCAGAGGTTCCGGTACCTTCCTGGCCCAGGGTGACCCATGGACCCCTAGTAGCGCAGCTGTAGGGGGGAAATTAGATGCCTGCAAATCCTGATATTGGATTGTGACCTGCATCTATATTTCTGATCCCAAAGGTGTTTTTGTTCAAAAGGTAGCTGGACTTCCTTGGTTTTTTTCTTGAAAACATTTCGCTTCTCATCCAAGAAGCTTCTTCAGTGAGAAGTGAAATGTGTTCAAGGAGAAAACCAAGGAAGTCCAGCTGCCTTTTGGAAAAAAGCACCTTTGGGGCAATCATGGCCTGGATGACTGAGAATCTCCATAGCTCTCTCTCTCTCTCCTTGCAGCCCAACACAAGAGGCCTCTGGACCACAGCAATCCTTGCTTCTCTCTGATCCCAATCAAGATCCCTTCTGTCTACAATGCTCCCTGCAAATGGGGAGGGGCAGCATGTTCCCATAATTAACCAGTCCTTGCTTGGAGAAAGCAAACGGGCATAACAGCTTTCTGGCAGTGGCAACTGGACCAACTTCTCTGAAAGTTACCATTCCAAGCCAGGGCAAGTGAAGGTCCTCCCGATAGAACTCCGAGGGCTGGCTTGGATGTGAATAGGCCCCTCGGTGGTTTGACACAAGCAAAATCTACTGCACACGTTTCCAGGCAGACAACTTTGGCCTTTCCTCGCATTCACCACAAATGGCTTTGGGCAGCTGCAGGAAGAGAATGGAATGAAATCTGACAACTGCCTTGCTAAAGGATCTTCCAGGTTATACCGGGACTCCGCCTCTCCCCCTTCCAGGCCTGCTGGGAAATCTCCAAGCATGCCCAGGGTCCACCCCAGCTCCCCTCGTCAAGGAGGAGCCGTGCTGGAAAAATGGTTTCTGACCCTCTTGTATTTCTGCAACCCTCATTCCCTGATCTTTTGGCCGGGGGGGGGGGCAGATCACCCGAGAACATGCTGGATGCGTAGGACAAAGCAACTGCCATCCCTGCAGGCCAGGGCTACACTCTGAGCATTGCCAGCCAGACTACATAACGAAGTCAACCCTAAGCAGACCCAGCCACCCCGGAACTGTCGGTCGGCAGACGGTGGCTCTCCTGCAGAGGCCTTCTGCGCCAAGAGGTCAAGGGCTCCAAGTATCCAAAGGGGTCGCTGCGGCCTGGCCACCTCGAGGCTTAGAGCACCCAAAGCTCCTACTAGGAATACAGGTTGATCAGCCTGGTGTTTCCGGGGAGCTTGGAATCCCCCTTCTTCGGAGAAGGAGGCTCGTCTTTTCTAAAAAACCCTTTCCCCCCCCATTCCCCATCATCCATTCTTCAGATCAATTCCTGGCACTGTGTACTTTAGTGTTCTCTCTGGTATCAAAACTTATAAAGCTTTAAGAAAATGTCCTTTACTTTTAGCCAATCATTTCATAGGATTTTCTGTTAAAATATAGACAGGATTTTCTCACCCTCCCCATTTTCTGTTTATCAAAAGCTTCTAGTTAATCTGCTGCTAACTTTACAGGCATTTATCTACAGCCCCCTCACCTACCCCAATTCCAAAGAACAAGGCTAGCTCGGTGCCCCTTTCCCTCCTCCCCACCCAGCTATAAAGCCCCCCCCCCCGAAGCTGCCCTCCTGTTCTGGATAAAACTTGGAATAGCACAGCTGCTGAACTGCCAAGTGAGGGGAGAAAAGGCACTCCACACAGAGACGTGTACAAAGGGCCCAAGGCTCTCACAAAAAGCCTCGTCCAAATGAAAGAGGAAAAGATAGAAAAACGCCACCAAAATAGTTCATCTGTATAAAATGCCCTTCCAGGTTAGAAAAAGAAGAAAAAAACCAACACTGATCAGGGCTCTGGTTAAGGCCAGATCCGGGTTTCCTATTGCTCTACTGCAGCACAGAGACAAACCCAGAGAAGGCGTTTTGGTTTCTCAGCAACAGCTTTTAGCACCTGCTTGCCTGCCTGAGGGCAGCCACACCTGTCAGGGAAGTGCTTTCTGTCGTGACCTGGGCCAGGGCCAGGCGGGGCCAGGCCTGCATTTCCAGAAGGGCTCTCGGCCAGGACTGTCACGATCAAGCCAGGTGATCTCCTCGCTCCCTAGGACAGCTTGCCCCCTCCCCACCTGCTACTCTCAAGCAGGACAAGTGCACAAAGGACAGGGCTCTCCACTCAAGCAGCCCCGAGACTGGCTGATCCTCTTCGCATCCACCAAGGCGTAGTGTACCGAGTCAAATGACAGATGAGGCAGAAATTGGCTGGTGAATTCAGACCTATTGTGGCTGCGCCTGAAGCACATCTGTCTGAAAAGACTTCTTCGGGGCAGGAAAGGTCTGGCCCCGGCGAAGCGCTCTCCAAGGCTTCTGTTGGGAGAAAGGCGTATGCTGGATTCATGAAAAGACATGGCACTGGACAGATCGCTCTCTTCCCGTGGCAGCCGGCTCTCGTGCCCAGCCCACATGCAAGGCCAAGGCGGGCACCAGAGCTCCTGGCATTCCAGACTCTTCTGGGTGTGTAAAGCTCCTGCAGCAGAAGGGCACTGGGAAGTGGGGTGAGGGAGAAAAATGCTTAGTTTTCTTTAGTGCACAGAGGGCAACAAACGACAGAAAAGGTGAACAGGAAAGGGGTGGTTACACTGCCCCCAGTCAGTTCTCGTCACCCCCACATATGGGAACTGCATCCCAAAGACTCCCTAAAGAAATGGCTGCTTACAATAAAGAAGCTTTAGGGCCAGTAAGCCATCATCTAGCAAGACACAAAAAACTGCCCAGGATCATCTGCAGAAGGCAGCCCTTGGCTTGACTTTTATACCCTATGATTACAGCTACTCTCCTGTAAATGGCCACCTGGTTGCTACCAATCATCCCTTTGTTTTTAAATAAAGATGAAACATTTTAGTATGTGAGAAAGAAGAACAAGAGCAAATGGCTGACGTATGAACCCAAGCAAGCAAAGACAGACCCAAAGCATTTAGCTTTTTCAATTTGGGTGATTCTATTTCCACTTGTCTCCATCCCAGACTGTTGTTTCTAGCAAATTTTCTCCCAAGGCAAACAAATTTTTTTCACCTCCATCCATCCATCCATCCTCCTCATCTTCCTATATGGCAGTTATTTTCATTTGAACAAAACCAAACACCATTTAGTTTGGCCCAAGGACAGAAAGTGCATTGAGCCTTGCAAGAGTCGAAGCACCTTTCATCCCTTCACAGAGAATGCGCTGGTGGCTGACAGCACTTGAGGGAACTTCTGCCTGAACGGGGGGGGGGGGTGATCCACATGTTTCCTGAACCAAGAAATATGGGAAAGGGAGGGCCAGGGATTCATGGCGGGCTGTGGGGTGGGGTGAGCAGCCTTCAGGAATCCAGAGCCAGCGTGTACATACCTTTGTCCATAGGAAGTTAGCTGGGGACCCAACTGTGATTGGAAGCCTGTGACGTGCTCGGGTAACTCGGAGTAGACGGAATGGGCTCAAAGTTGAAATCCAGCCCTTCTCCATCCATGAGGTCGGTGCTGATGATGTAATCCACATCACACTGAAGGTCCTCCATGTACATATCCACATCCAAATCATTGGGCAGCTTATCCTGATTCCCATCAAAGGCCGGGAAAGTAGCAGACAGAGAGGGCTGGGTGCCCATCTGGCTCATCTGGGCAGACTGTGCTGAGCCCGACGTCTTCAAAGCAGAAAGGCCAACGGGGCTTTGAGAAGAGGCCGCCATGGTAAAGGCGGAGGGCAGCCCGGTGGCACCAATGGACTCCAGCTGCTGCTCCAAAGGTTTTCTGAGCAGACTTCCCAGGCTCATCTTGGGCTTGGAGGGCTGGTCCCCCAGAAGCAGGAAACTCTGACTGTTCATCCTGCTTCCGCTCTGCGGGAGAATTGGGTCCACCTGGGTCATCATCACATCGCTGGCTGGTGGCGAGTTGGATGTGAGGAGCTCCTCCAGCGACTGTGAGAAATGGCCGGTGGAGCTGGGCAGCAGGTGATCCATGGGGCTGAAAAGGGAGCTGCCAAACGAGCCGGAGGCCTGAGCAGCAGAGCTGGGGGCTCGCAAGGGGAAGGTGGGGTTCCTCTGGGCCGCCCCGCTGGACACCGGCTGCTGAGTGGCCAGCAAGGATGAGGAACTAGCCGACATCAGGTTCAGGCCATCGATGAGCTCCAGCTCCTCCGTCACTGTGGGAGGCACGTTGCTGGACGCGCTGGAGTAGACGAGGGTGGGCAGGAGCTCCTCGTCAGCAAGGTCCTCCTGCTCGGCCAGGACCGAGGAAAGCCCCACGCTGCTGGCATTCGAACTGGTCCGAGGCCGGATACTGGTCCACACCTCCGAGTCCTCGTTGCTCCTGGAGGAAGGGCTGCCCGGCCATTTGGGAAACTGGGAGACGGGACTGTCGGACGTCGGTTCTGGAGCAGCCGTCATGGCCGGCTTCTTCCTGTGCGTTTTCCCACGGAGTTTGGCCAGCTTGCTGCTGTTGTCCATGGAGGCCGCTCTTCTCCGCGGGGCTTTCCCACTTTTGCCGCCTTCGGGATTGAGCATCCACCAAGAGCTCTTCCCGGTCGCTTCATTGTGCACTTTGATGAACTTGTTATGCAGGGAGAGATTGTGCCGGATGGAGTTCTGGAAATAAAGTGGGAAGGACAGAGGGTGAGACCAAACCCATAAACCCCACCCACGAGCCGCCCGGGGTTCCTGGGCCGTGGGAAGACCTTCCTGGGTGTGCAGCTACAACCACCCCCACCACCCGCAGCCTTTGGGGCACTGGGAGGCTGCCCTTTGACCTATCAGACTGCTCCCACCTCCCTACGGTAGCAGCCTGTGGACTTCAGGTTTGTCAGATCTTATTAGACTCAAAAATACCGACCAGGTGATAGAGCGTAGTTAAGACCACTGGGGAGGGGGTTGCTAAATACATTTGGAGACCAAGAACCAGACTTTATAGAAAGCCTTGCCAAACATCTCAAGGTCACTGTAATTTCTTCCCCCTATTTTTCTGTTACATAGACATAATCTTGCACTTGAAACACTGACATCCTTTTCTCTTTTTTTCCAATACTTTTCTTTAAACAATAAAATGTTAATCATTTCAGTCATACAATATAAACATTATGGTGGGGAAATCGGCATCCCGCTGTACTATCACCAACTGCAAATAGTACAATCTATCAAGATTTATCATATTACAACACAAGGGGAAAAAACAACATGGGATAGAGTCTCTGAGCCACGAGGCAAAGAGGGCACAAGCCACCCACCCAGTTTCCTTGTGGCCTGTCCATTTGTCTCCTTCCGCCCTCTCTCCTTTCCCAGAGGCCTCCTTGGCCCTTTTCTTCCCTTCCTGCACAGCGCAGGGATCGGGACACTTGCCATTCTAGTAGACAGCCCCAAGAATGGCAAGAATCCTGCTACTTCATTTCCCGGCTGGGTTTTCAGTGACTGGGTTCAAACATGGCACCAAGCAGTGGTTAAAGAAGCAACAGCATGCTGAATGTGTACAACACATCAAATCCAAAACAAACAAGCCGCTTTATCGTTCAGCACTGCATATGAACAGAGCCAGTGTTACTCCTTCTGAAGGGCATTCATCCGCCTCCAGGCCAGGCGTGAAGAGAACAGGAGAGCAAATAACAAACTGGGCGGCCCGCATCTGAACCCCACTAGCTATTAACAGAAATGACAGGATCACTGTTACCCACCGAGCGGCACAGAGCAGGCACAGATCTGACTTATGGCCTTGGGCTACGCCTACTTTGAAACCTGAGCGGCCTTGCCTTGGCTCTGCCCCCTAACCAGTGTTACTAGCTGCTTGCCAACTGGCTACAACTGCACAGCAAGAAGTTCATGGATCCCAAGCCACAAAGCTGTTTTCAAATTCCAGCCGAGAATTCTTTGGCTCCCAGGCTTCTTCGCTGCACTCCTTGTGATTGGGCAAATAGAAAGCACACTCCTTCATCCCTGACCGTTCTTGATGTAGAACAGGATCCTTATGCCCTGCGTGGCGGTTTGCAGGCTGTGCGTGGCTTCAGAGCTCCATCCCACAGGAGCCAGCAAAACAGCCGGTCAGCCACAGTCCCCCCTTCTCCCCAAAAGGAATGGTGGAGGCTGCCTAGTTGCATAACCGGCAGATTCTGGCCCGGTTACAGAGCGACTTGAGAGCAAGAGGTGGGGAACAGCGTGTAACTTCCTAAGAATACTAGTCAGGTTTCACTTCTGGGGAAGAGGCTGGCCTGCCAGAACCGCAGTGTGCTCAGCTTTGCGTCAAGAGAGCTCTTTGGCCCCAGGTCAGAGCTGCTGCTCTGGGACTTCTGAGACCAACAACCCCAAAGTCAACCTGAAATGCAGGAACAGCACAAACGGAGGTCGGCTGACCCCTCTCACGGCAGCCCTTTCCAGGACCAAGGAGGCCCCCTTGCACCAAAGCCACCTGTCTTGATCCAAAATCTCAGTGGGTCACCTTCTGGAGGTGCCGAGACTGTCTCCTGCAAGCAAACAAACACTGTAATGCTGAGCCACACAGTTCTGCGGGGGGGGGGGGTGGAGAGTGGAATGAGTCAGAATCACTCCCCAAAGAACAGCCAGAAGTTACAGCAAAGCAAAATAGTTTAGGACAGAGGTGAGAGGAACCACGTTCACACGCTGTGCTGAGCTGTCCTCTGGTTTGCTGTTTGCTTAGCATGTTTATGAACGCAATCAATTGTGACTCTAAAACAAAAGCAAAAGTTTACAAAAACAAACTTAGTGGATGGGTGAACCCAGCCAGAAGGTTCTAAAAATGTCCAGGTTCAAATCACTAAATCTGACCACACATTCATGGCAAAATGTTTAATCAATACTTCCAACAAACCTTAACTTCTTCTCTGAAAAAAAGGAAAACAAAAACTTGGAGCCCCGGGAATAAACTAAACCCTGTTTTAAAACAAGTTGAGGATTACAAGCTCAAAGCATGTTACCTGATTGACATCCCCTTTCTAAACAGCAATTTCTCTACGCTGTAATTTCACAGGGGGCGGGGGGGGAAGAGATCAATTTTTAAAAAGCCGGACCTTTCAGAAGACCCTTTGCCCTGACTTCTGTTGCCTTCCCAGCATCGATCCATCTCCTCCACTCCCACATTTTCTGATTCAGGTTTCTTAGTCCAGATGACTTGATACCATCTTGGAAGAAGGCTACTACTTTGGGAACCGTCAGTCTAGGATATTAAGTAGTGGAAAAGCAGCACCCATTAGCTCTCTCTTCACCACAAGCAAACACTAAAATGGATCTTGAAAGGGCTGAGTGGTAACAACTCATTCAGGAGCTTCCAAACCTACAACCATTTGGCAGCTGGTTGGGGCAAACTGTCCTCATCAGAACAGACAGGAAATGATGGTTTGATGAGCCGAACACTCAGACAGACATTCCTGGGAGGAAACATCTCCTGTATCAAATTGCCAGCTCCTACAGAAGCGTCTGCCAAGGAAGGAATTTACCCTCCGTAATGGAGCTGGAAAAATTCAAGGAATATCGTGTTGACTGCAGGAACCAGGAAGAAGGCTCTAATGTTCTGAGGGCAACCTGCTTGCCAGAGGTAGACAACAACTCACGGCATCACAGCCACACTGATCGCCCGGGGTTCTTCAACAAAACAGAAAACAACTTTTCCCTAACCCTGTTCCTCGCATAATTTTATATGGAAATCGCCACTTACTCACCTCATTAGATTGTCTCGCTTGATCCCTGCAGGTGAGATTTGAGAACATTTATGTACAGGTAGTCCTTGGCTAACAACCACTTGCTGAGTGACCAAAGTTACGACAGCACTGAACAAGTGGCACTTACAACTGGTCCTTGAGGTTCTGGCTGGCCCAGCACCTTCACAGTCACGTGGACACAATCTGGACACACAGTCACTTGGCAACTGGTTCAAACTTATGACAGTGGCAGCATCCCAAGGTCACGTGATCGCGCTTTAGCTGCTTCCCAGCTGGTTCCAACAAGCAAAATCAATTGGGAAACATGCAGAAAAGGTTGCAACTTGCCCAGCTAAATCTCCCATGCCTGGCAACAGCCACTCCAAGCCTCTCTACCCTGGCACTGCACCAGTTCCTCACATGCCCTTCAATGCCCCCTGCCACACGTGGGCTATGCCAAACCGTCACATATCCTCTTCCCCCACAGCAGTCGCTTACCCGCTTGCCAACCTGCAAGAGAGCTGCCTGGGACTTGCAACTCCCTCCTGGCTTCCCCACAATTGTGCTTGATCAAAGTCAGCAGGATGTTGTAAGGAGATCCTTGTTAACTTCCTCTGTCCTTTATGTTAATGGGAACTGGGGAGAAAATCCCTAATTCACAGGAAATTAGAGGAAGGAGGAGGGGAAGCACATTCAGACACATAAGTTTCTGTTATTACAATCATTGTAATAAAATAATTTTAGGGCTATGTGGCACCTATTTCTTCAGCTGGCCTACCTTATAGGGTTGACAGAGGGAGAAAGTGTGTTTCATCAAAGATAGCATAAAGGAGACTTAGCACACACAGCGGGACTTAGCTCTACAAGGCATGGTAGAGATTTCAAGTCACATTCAGGATGACTGAGGAAAAACACAACATAAGGGTTAAAAGGCTCATTTGTGAAGAAAGTATAAAATCCAGCAGAAACCTGGATGTTTCCAATACATATTAAGCAAAATAATCTTGTTTCTTATGTGGAAGCAAGAAATAAATTGGGTAGCAATATCAACAAAGCTGGAGATCGCCCTTAGCCAAAGATTACATAAAGCTGACAGACGCCCAACTGAGCAGCTTTTTTTCAGTGGTCAGTGAGAGTTAGATTCTTGCCAGCTTCAGGATCCTGGCAATGCCACTGGGGGGAGATACAACTCCAATCTGCCTCTGCACAGGCTCCTTCCAGGGGGAACCTTCCACCTGGGTTACCAGGAGCAGGCAGTGAGCTGCAGGAGAGGGAGTGGGAAAGGGCCTGCTGGGACTCTGAACCCAACTGGCTTTGGGGTGGGGCGTGTTTGTCCTATTCTGATTCAGTTAAGCACACCCTGTTTTTTTAATTTACTCTTTCAGCCAGGAAACATTAGTTGATAATATCCTCTCTGCATTCTCTAGCATTAACTGCCCTGAAATATCACCAAGTTGAAACTTTATTTGCTCCCTCATCTTTGTCCTATTCCCCCCCCCCCCCGATATCTTCTTCTCCTCCTCGACCCAGTAAACGATAACCCAGCAGCCCTCAGAACCTGGCCATCCTGAGAAGACATGCGCTGATATATCATCGCTAGCTTCATTCACACATCAACCTGAGCCATAATGCAGCATAGCTTGCTCATTTGAAGCTTAGAGAACTATATGGATCCAGCCATTGTAATTAGCATACTTACATCTAAGGACTGTAGAAACTTATAGTTTTCTAAAAACAATGTCAGACCTTCCTACTGGTACTTTCCCAAGGCACCACGCCTTTTCTGCATGTAATAGAGTTCACTGAAAAAGGAAGGATCCAGTGTACCTTCCCTCATCCCTGCTCAGCCCAGAACCAAACAGGCTCTTAAGGGGAGAGGAAGCACAGAAATGCACCCTTTTGCCCTCGTGAGCTTTATGGGGAAAATGTAAAAAAGTTATTTATAAACCATGAATAAGGAAATGCAGCTACACTGTGCTACATCATTTCAATATTCTCCTTTTAACTCATTCTTAAATTCTGTATCAGAGGGACAGGAGAAACCCATCAAGCCATTTCCAAGCATTCAGAGCCATCAGCAATGTAGTCTTCCTCTGAAGATATTGAAAAGGAGCATTAGAGCAGGTTTGGCACATCCTTGTCTTAAACTGAACTATGACAGCAATCAAGACATCCATCTTCTTCTCCTTGCAATCAGCAGGGGGAAGCCCAGCACAGGGTTTCATGTCCCAAGTTCCAAATCACAGCCATCTTCCATCTGTACGTCAGAAAAGATCCCTTTTTAAATTGCATAATGCTGTACAGAATAAAACGTAGCCAAACACTGTAATAAAAAAGGTCTGTTCAATAATTGCCCTTAGAACTGCAGTTAGTGAACTTTCGTGATTCAGCATCTTCATGCCACAAAAAAAAAAAAAAAAAGACTGAGCCACTGGGAGTTTAAATCTGCTGAGACTGAAAGGGTGTCATTCATAAATCTCTGCATTCCAAAACAGCAGAGATAGCTTGCTATGTGATTGGGATACTCCATGAGCATCAGTCATAAACATATGTTTAAAACCAACACAGACCTTCCCCTAAACAAAGGCTTTTTCCTAAGCAGGGCCAAAAAGCTTCTCACTGACAGGAAAGATGGCAGACCTTTGCGGATGACCCCATGCTTTCCAAAGACAAGCATTTCCAGCCCAAACAAATTTCTACCACATATACTCTAAAAAAAAAAAGTGGATAATTCATACACCTGGTGCTCTTCTGGCACTCAGAACAGAGACAAGTAGCCACTGAAGGAGTCAACTGCCTTTATGGCTGGCACTGCCAATTTTTCAAACAAATACGACTCATGTTGAAAAGAGCCTTTTTTAAAAAAAGACTGCCAGCCATACCATATTTCCTCAGAGCAGAAGAGACATGCTCACTCTCGGCTCAGAGGTCCTTTTCTGAAAGGAGGGCTGTGAGGGCTAGGAATGCAGGCTATGAAGGAGATATTTATATTAAGCATCAGCACAGCAGGGTGACAAAGAGCTGAAGCCTGGGACTGAGCAGACTGGCCGAAAGTCCTAGCCCTCACTCCTGCCTTTCCAAGAAACAGCGGAGAACATTTACAAAGGGGGCAGGGAGTGGCTTTTCTTGGAAGTGCTGAAACAAAGTGAACTGCAGGGTCAAGCTCAAGAGGAAAGAGCACAACATGGGGGGGGGAGTCATCTGCTGCACAGCTTCCCAAAGTCCACCCTTTCATGACTGTTCAGGATCCATCCTGAACATGTGAAGTAAGCCAAGATTTAAGACAACTTCACAACAAATCAAGCCAGACAGTGATTTATTATATCCAGTTTGTCTAACATGATTGGACATTCGGTAGACAAATGGAACAAAGCTGTAAATCTCTTCCCAAATCAAGAAAACCCCTAACCCCTTACCCCCAATCATAAATTTTACTTTTTCAAAAGGAGACAGAGGAGGTAGAAGAAGCCTGCAGAGATTTCTGGACTTTTCTCAAGGCCTACAGGAAGCAGCTTTGTCCTCTCTTTCTAATTTCCAGCCACTGAAGCCGTTCTCTTACCGGCTGATCAGGTAAACCTCCCCACAGTGCTCTGCCCTTGCAGTAACACTGCAGGGTATCTGGGCCATGGCAATAATCAGGGCAGTGTGGTGAGAGCCAACCCCAGATCTCTCTGCCCAGGGACACCCCGCGGGAGTCAATATTGCCAATGCACATGGCATTGAAGCCACCGTCCTTTCAACTGGGGCTGAAACTTCTACAAGGGTTAAGATTAAAGAGTTCCAGCCTGTCAGCTATAAACGGGCTCAAGGCCAAGCAACTGCCTAGGCGCTCAGCAACCCAGTGGGGTAATCTGTAGCTGGGCTTGTTTGATGTCCTCTCCCTGCCTTTGTGATTGTTCCCTCCCTAATTGAAAAGGAGGCAGTTGCCCTACCTGGTAGGATGGAAGAGTTCAAACTCTTTGCATCAGTAACCCTGCAAGATGGCAAAACCACCACACGAGCCAATCTATAGAAACGAGCAACTCCACCTCATCTAAAAGCAGGTTCCAGGAAGCACAAGACTTCCTGAAGCTGGCATTCTGCACATGCCCAGAAATTTTCTATTTTTAGAACAGCACTTTATCCTGAAGGTCTAGAAACTAAATCCCGTTCAAGTAACTTGGACAGTTAACAAATGAGGGACTACTGCACATCAGCCCAAAGATGTTTCCAAATATGTGGCAGGACGTGGGGACAGTCAGGGTTGAACCGCCTATGTTCTAACCCTGCCTTCCAGAGCTGTTTTCTAAACAACACGTTTGCAAGCTGGCACTAAAAGCCGTTTTCTGAGGAAACAATGCCAGAATTTCCACAATGCACCTGCAAAACCCCTTAAAACACCAGACCATCCCTGCCAGTTTTTAGAATTTACCAGAATTCCTGTGAGTTTTTTTGTTTCACCCTGCCAAAAGAGTTGGAAAAAATGTGCAATTTACTGTCTTCCATTCCTATTGCTATGATTCAAGAAAAAAATGTGATACGTTGGCATTGCAGTATTTTTATCTTGTAGAACTCAATGGTTTTTTAAAAGCAAAAAGATAAAAGAGGATAACTTTCAAGTTTCAGGTGAGTCTTCTGCCAAGTTTATAAAGTGGTTAAGGACTGAAAGCAAAGGCCTAATTCTCCAAGCATTATTCCAGTTTAAAAAAAAAAAAAAACAGCCGTGGAAAACGGACTGGAAATACTGCCAGGAAAAGGGAGGCCGCTCTCGGGGCGCCGAGACCGAGCAGGGCAGCCCTCCTGGATCCGGACGGCGGGATCCTCCCGGGGCGCCGCGGGAGCCTCCAACAGCAGCCGCAGCGGCGGGAGGAGGAGGAGGGCGGGGGATTCGCCCCCCAGGGCCCGCCGGCAGGGCCGCCGGGGCTGCCGAGGGGGGAGGGGCTCACCTTCCAGCCGGCGGAGCTGTTGCTGTCGCCCTTGTCGCGGAAGTAGGGCACCGAGCGGACCATCCACTCGTAGATCTGCGCCAGGGTCAGCCGCTTGTCGGGCGCGCTCTGGATGGCCTGGCTGATCAGGTCGGCGTAGGACTGGCTGCCCCAGGCGTTGCGCCGCGCCCCGCCGGACCCCGCGCCGCCCCCGCCGCCCTTGCGCGCGGCCCCCGCCGCCCCGGGGGCCTCGCCGCCGCCGCCGCCCGCCGGCTCCTCGGGGCTGGCCGCCGCCGCCTCCCCGGGCTCCGGCTCGACCACGGCCACCAGCTCGGGCCGGGGCAGCGGCCAAGTGCAGGAGCGCGGGCGGCTCTGCGGGGGGAACTCCGGGTCCAGAGCGGCCAGCGACGAGGAGGAGGAGGAGGACTCGGTCGCCTGGGGGCTCCCGGCCGGTTCCGCCATGATGGCGCCGCTGCCGCCTCTCCCGCCGCCCTCAGCGCCGCCACATCAGCGCCTCAGGTCGGGGCGCCCGGCGGGGAAGCGCCCACGGAGCTCCGGGGCCGACGCCGCGCCCCTTCCCCCGGCCGGGCTCGCTGCTCGCTTTTGCGCCCGCCGCCGCGGCCTCGCCGCTCCCCAGCCGAGCGCAGAGCCACGAGAGCAGCCCGCCGCCTCGGCGGCACTCTGTTTACCACAGGCGAGGCAGGCAGGCGCCCCTCCGCGCGTGCGCCGTCACAGACCCTCTGCGCGCGGCCAGGGACTCTCTTTCCCGTCAGGCAAAGCAAGCAGACGGGCGCTGGGGCGAGGCACCTCCCGAACTACAACTCCCGGAAGGCCTCGCGGCGGGAGAGAGGGATGGGCGGATGCCAGTATGCGCCTTCGTCTTGGGGCCCTTACGTAAGAGCAGGCGGCCAATCCGCTGCCGCCAAAACAAGTCCGTCGTGCTGTGCCCCCTCCACCCCCCTTGCTGGCTGTTCCAAATTTACGCCCTCCTCCTTCCCGCAGCTTGGCTGTGACCTCTTGTGCTGCCCGCCCCTTGGTCTAAACCCGCTCCAAATGGGACGGGGTCTCTTGATGGGTTCACACCGCAAACGTTGGCCGAGCGTTTCACCGTCTTTAGGCAAGGGCGAGAAATCAGCCTCTTCCCATTAGGCAAAGGTACAGCAGCTAAGCTCATGAACCTCCTTGGCTGGCTGAGGCGGCGAGGGCAGCCGACTGTGGTGCAAGCCCACTCGGCCACTTTTGGCACCTTCCGTCGTGCGTAAATCCATCCCACGTGCTTAGTACACAGCTTAGTCAGTGCGTCATGAACCCTTAGCCCTTCCAGTTGAGGAAAATCCTTTAACCACAGGACTTTCTAGTAGGCAGTAGGAAAACGTTTGCTCCCTCTTAAATATTTCATGCATTTTCCTTTTGACAGGGCATGGTACCAAGCCATGACTCTTATCAGACTGGACTAACTAACGTCTGAATATGCTTAACCTGATTATTAAAATATTGTCTGGACAGAGTGAATCATAAGATACCTGGGCAAACTGGGTTTATGTAAGAAAAATAACCAAAAGTTAAAGCTGGCGGATGCGGCTAGTAGGGAACAGCAGCAGGTACTGTCCAAGCTCCACCTGTTTTCAATGCATGGTGGAGCTCTCAATCTACCTGCATGGGCATCCCTGATCATAAGCAGTAACAGAAGGGAAAAGGCATTTCTGGGTCCACACTTCCCCAGTTGCTTTTGTGCACCTTCAAAGTCAATTTATTGCCGCCGCACGCAGGACTCTTTTAATTCGAAGATGGGCAGATTTTTCTGGGCAGTAAAAAGATTGTTGAATGCAACTACAAACTGAGCAATCCCAGAGACAAGAAGGTATGTCAGGTGTCACTCTCCAAGGTCAAGAGAAAAGGGCCGCAGGATCCCTGTTCCCGCCCTTCAGTCCATTGCTATGCCCTGTCCAAAGATGCACTGCCTAAAGTTAAAAGCAAGCAGATTGTGGGAAATTCTACTTTTGTGTTCCCAGTTTTTTCGGGGGGGGGGGTAATGGAAGCTATATATAAGGTCATCCCTGGGTGCCCACCTGCTGCAAAACCCCTTATCCTGGTTGGAAATTCTGGAGGGTGAAAGGCTGCTTCAATCCAGTTCACCTTCACCTTGCCGGTTCTTGCGCTTTGCTGACACCTGCTGTAGGAACTGGCTGGTGTTTTTTTCCTTCTTCCTGTTCTGGTTGCAGCATTTTTACCTGCATTTTGCTTTCAAGTATTTGGATGCTGCTGCTGCGGCGGCGGTTGTTATTACTACTATGCCAGGGTCTGCTTGGGCTCTGCTTTTCTATTTTGAAGGAGGCGGTTACAAATGCATCGAAATATGAGAAGAGCAGAATTAAAATGGGGGGAGGGGGAAACAACCATCCCCACCCGAACCTCCAGGGCCTTTTGTAAGTTTGCAATCCGATGAACAGGAAATCCCACTGCATTTTAAGGCATTCTGATTTCTCAGCAGTTGCACGTTTGGCCCCCGCCGCCCCAGCCCGCATCTCGCAGAGCGTCAGCTACCCTTCGGCTCCACAGGACAGGGCGAGGCAATCTCGCGCATGCGCCCAAATCATGAATATTTCCCTCTTTGAGGCAAGAGGCATTTCCTTGCGGTGCAGCAGTCAAGGCCCGCTGGAAGACAGCCCCGGATCGTGGATATTGCCTCCCTTCTGCTGGGTGCGGGCCGGACGTAATGCTAAATGCAGGTTCCGGGGACCGGAATTCCGGAAGCCCGCACCATGGATAACGCATTAACGCTCCCTCCCCGACAAGGATAGGCTTAGCTTGTGCGCGTTGCGGGGTTGGCGCGTCGCGAATCCCGGAATCTGAATCTCAGTTGCGGTTATGCAGGGCGGAAGAGATGCCGCGCCTTTCCGCGCAGGTTCCGGGGCGGCGCTATGTATTGCGGCGCCGCAGCGCTGAGGAGGTGGAGGCGGCGGCCGGAATAGTGGCGGCGGCGGCGGCGGCGGCGCGAGTTCCGCTGAAGCGGCTCTGGCTGAGCTCCCCTCCGCATCTCTCCATCATGTCCGAGGCGGCGGTGGCCGACACGCGGCGCCTGAACTCGAAGCCGCAGGACCTGACGGACGCCTACGGGCCGCCCAGCAACTTCCTGGAGATCGACATCTTCAACCCGCAGACCGTGGGCGTCGGGCGGGCCCGTTACACGAGCTACGAGCTCCGCATGAGAGTGCGTGGGGCGGGGCTTCACGGGGGCGGGGCTTCCCCGCCTGCCCCCCGGGTGGGGCTGCGGGGGGGGGCTCCGGGGTAGTCCTTCCGGGCCAGGGAATCTGCCTAGCCCGCTGCTCTTCAGGGGAGGGTCCGCTCTTGCTCAGGAGGGACCGAGCCCCCCCCGCAGCTCGTTGAGGGTCCAGGTCAGGGGTGGGGAACCTTGGCCCTTTTATGACTCGTGGACTTCAATTCCTGAGCCAGTCTACGAGTCATAAAAGAGCCAAAGTTCTCCACCCCTGGTCCAGGTAACCTTCAGCTGCTCAGGAGCTGGATGACCGCCTCTTGGAGAGCGGAGCCCTGCGGAAGAGCCCCCGCTGGGATCTCGATGGTGGGAGAAGGTCTGGAAGCTTTGGGGGCCTGGTGGGAGCCCCTGCCTGTCTGCCTGCAGCAAGGAGGGGACCTTCTCCTGCAGGGGCCCATAAACGGGGCTCTGCCTTCCCAAAGCGTTGCTGGGGGAAGGCGAGGAGAGGCTGCCGCCTTCAACAGGCTCCTCTTTCTGCCCAGACAAACCTGCCCATCTTCAAATTGAAAGAGTCCTGCGTGAGGCGGCGATATAGTGACTTTGAATGGCTGAAGAATGAGCTGGAGCGAGACAGCAAGGTGAGTGCCATCAGCCGGGCAGATGGCCTTGTCTGGAGTCAAAGGCGGCTCTGGGGAGACACATTGCGGGCTGAGCATCTGGAGATGCCCATGAAAAACAGCGCATCTCACAAGGGTGCAGTTCTTCTCCCTGCTAAAATGACACTGTCGGCTTGCAGATTGTAGTACCTCCGTTGCCAGGCAAGGCCTTGAAGCGCCAGCTTCCTTTCCGGGGCGATGAAGGCATCTTTGAGGAGTCCTTCATAGAAGAAAGAAGACAAGGCTTAGAACAGTTCATCAACAAGTAAGGCCTGAGGTCACGCTGGGCTGTTTGCGGAAGTTGAGCTCTGGGAAAGAATGGATGGGTCATGCCAGAGGCAGGGAAGCTCGCTGAATTAAGGGTTTAGTACTTTAGATGAGGGGTCTCCAAACTTGGCAACTTTAAGACTTGTGGACTTCAACTCCCAGAATTCCCAATTCATCTGGGAAGTCCACATTTTAAAGTTGTCAAGTTTGGAGACCCCAACATTAGATGAATCTCATTTGCTTTAATAAACACTGTTTGAAACCTCAGTTAAATTCTACAACTAGTTCTCAACTGATAACTATAATGGAGCCTTCAATTATGGTTGTTAGTCAACAAGCAGTAATTGTACTTGATTTTATGACCTTTTTTACGGTGGTTATTAAGTGAATGTAGCAGTCAGTAAATGAATCCATTTTATTCAATGGACGTTTTTCGCTGGAAGCCAGAACTAAACAGCATTAAAAATTGTGCTGTAAAGGTGAATCCATTGGCAAGCTCCCCAACTGTAATTGCATGATGGGGGGGGGGGTTGTGATGTCCGACCTTTGAAATTGGGTCATAAGTATGTGTTTGAGGGATTGGTGGTAAGTTGAGAACTACCTGTATTTCCATTAAATGAGCAGAACATGTTTAGGGTTAAATAGTTGGACTAAGTTCAGGCAAGACCTGGGTTCAAGTCCATCCTCAACTGATAGAGTCACCTCTTTTTTGTCTCTTTTTTACATCTTGTCTTATCCAGTTATGGGAAACAGGAGGGAAGAATATCCTATATGCTGCTTTGAAGGCAGGAGGTGGACATTAGTCTCCTGCTATGAGCAGAGTGCCCGGTTTTATTTGAAAAGTATTTGTCCATCAGAGAATATATATCCTCCATTGGAATAAGAACCATATGCTGTTGCTTATCCTGCTTCCTCTGCCACCGCCAGCAGCTGTTATCTACCTCATATAAACTGACATCTTCTCAATTTGTTTTCCCAATGGAGCCCAGGGAACAGAACAGAGCGAGTGCCTAGATCCCTTAGCAAACTCTTATTCTGCTGGTTCCTTCAGGGCCAAAGGAAAAAGAATGGTGACTACAGCAATTAAAGCCTTGCAAGACCATGATTGCATTGTGTACCCATTGTGATCTTTCTTTCTTGTGTAATGTCAGCCAGTAGGTAGCTACTGGATCTTGTAACCCTTCTGCCTTTCCTCATTTTTCCTGGCAGAATCGCTGGACACCCGCTGGCACAGAACGAGCGCTGCTTACATATGTTCCTGCAAGACGAAACTATTGATAGGAACTACGTCCCAGGGAAGGTCCGCCAGTAGGGGAGCCTGGCATCTTCCATTTTTTTCCTCTTTTTCTGCAAAAATGACATTTATTTTTACACTTTCTTCTGAACCAGCTTTTTTTCTCTTTCTGAACTCCCCTACTTCTCCAATGTTGCCCATCATGCCATCCCATTCCACCCCAGCCATGACAAATTCTGTTGGCTTTTGGTTTCTGCATGAAAGGTGAGGATTTATGAATAGCTGTACTTATTGGTGGATGTGTAAAGCTTGCCAGGAACTTGTGTAAGAATATACAATCGGGATTTGAGCCTTCTGCTTTGGGGTATGGAGGTAGGGAGTTTTCCTGCCTGGACATATGTCCCTGGGGAGAACTTGGCATACAGAGTCT